ACTAAAACAGGGAGTTGGTTGTGACCAAATTTAAAGTGAATTGGTATTGGAAATACTATACCAAAATGTTGATAATTACTTTGCTGCAATTACCTATAAGAAAGAAGTTCTTAATTAGATGTAGGTATAACATTGCTTGTTTATACCTGTTGTTTGGGAATTGTACATTTAAAAATTGAGAACAAAACTAAATTTTCTCTGTCTCAGAATTAACACTGGAAAAAAGGACAGGGTAGAGAGAAATGAAACCTGTTTTTATTTTCCTACAGACCTTATGTTCTGATGGAAAGCTGCAGCTGGAGTTACTTCATTACATTACCCTGTATGCTTTACACACAAAATTACTGTAGTAGTCTTGGGAAAAGAAAAAACACCTAAACAATCTATTAGCAATTAGTAGAGAATAATTATTACATCTATCTGCAGCTCAATGTAAAATAAATTTCCATTGTCCATTCAGTGTTGGCCTAGGTTATTTTAGCTAATACAGATGAGCCCATGCCAGTATACGTACTAAAAACACTGAATGTAGATGTATTGTAATTGCTATTGTCGGGTATAGCTTAGTGGCACAGCACCTGCCCGGCAAGCCCAAGCTTGTGAGTTCAATTCCTGGTATAAAAAAAATTATAATTGTATAATTTTTAAATTGGAGACCATGTGAATCTATATGCAGTTTTGTGCATATCAAATATTCAACTTTCAGTTCTTATAATAGTTACTTTTACAGGATTATAATCTAGTAAATAAAAAAACACACAGAAACCCCTTTAAGCCCCCAATACTTTTTTTCAGTCATATCCAAATTAAGAAAGTGTATTGGTTATCATTAATTAATTTAAGGTGTGGAAATGGTATAATCTTTTTGGTTTTGAATTATTTCTTTTCTTTTCTTTTTTTTTTTTTTTTTTTTTTTTTTTGATATCAGGGATTGAACTCATGACCGCACACTTGCAAGGCAGGTGCTTTTTCTGCTGAGCTAAATCCCCAGCCCTAGATAATTGTTTTGGAAAATAACAAGAATCTTATTAGATTGACAGAGATGCATGCTATTATAAGGCCCAGTTGAGCAAAGATGGAGGAAATGGTCTCTGTCATAAACAGTTGTTTTTAATTGACACATCAGCTTGCCGGAAGCACCTTGGTAATGTAATTAAATAAATGCATATTATTTTCTCAACAATTGCATTTATGAGTGTTCTTATGAGGAAATACTAAAAGTACAAAAGGTGTATGTGTATGAGAGCATGTTGCAGTGTATGTATAAGAATATGAAAATAGTCTACCTGCCCCTTAATAGGAATTGGCTAAATAATATCTGACATATCTAAACATTGGACTTGAAACTATTTCAAAGTGAACGGTATATCTTTATATACTGACAGTTGGGGAGATCCATGGGATGTTACAAAGTTAAAAATGGACCACGTGGCTAGATTGTCTATAGTATGAATAGAATCAAATTATACAGAAGATAAAAAATATATGCATTCATTAGGAAATTTAGGAATGGGGCCTGGGGATTTAGCTCAGTGGTTTAAGCACCTGCCTTGCAAGTGCTCAGTCATGAGTTTGATCCCTGGTATCAAAAAAAGAAAAGAAAATTTAGGAAGACATGCCAGTTAATAAGAGGTATTGTTACATGAGAGTGAGACTATAAATAGAATTTTTTCCATAATTTGAATTTTCCGCAGTTACTGGAAGGTATAATTCTTCTACATATTTTTCTATCGTACATTTACTCCCAAGGTAGTACATATTCATGTAGTGCGGTCTAACTTGTAGATATTTGCCCAAAAGCTTATTAATGGGGTTCTTACATGCCAAGCATAGTTAGTTCTAAACTCCAGGACTAAAGCAGGCAGGATTCTCCCCTTGCTTAGGCTGTGTTACATGTTTCTGAGTCCTATAACAGCATACTGTAGATGGGGTAGTTTATAAGCAACAGAAGTTTATTTCTCATAGTTCTGAGAAATTTGAGAAGCTGAGAAGACTACAGTCAAGAATTCTAGGAGATTCAGTGTCTGGTGAGGGCCCACTTTCAGGTTCATAAATGACACCTTCTACTACCTCCTAGCTGAAAGAACAAGACAGCTCTCTGGGTTTCTTTGTAAATCACAATGTTAATCACGTAGATCAGGTTCTTTCCTCTTGGTCTGATTACCCCAACATAGCACAACCTGGTAATACCATCAAATTGGTGACTTAAATTTCCATGCACAATTTAAGAAGTAGTGTACAGATGTGATCTTTGTTTCAGTGAATGACTGCATTCATACATACTTTGTTCTTTTTAGATATTGTTCCGTGTTTGGGGAAAGGAGCTTTGTTTTTAATTTCAAATCAATATCTTACAAGAAGCTCTTCAAATGCTACAAAATACATAAAATGGGTTCAGAAATATCTGTGCTTTGAAAATCAAATTGTTAGCAGTACTTTGTTTAAAGTTTCTTAATACATTTTGCTAAAATTACTTTTTCAGAAATAGTTTGTAAATTTTCCTCCTATGCTTGTAAAAGTAGCAATCAATAAAATGCCTGTTTTCTTTTCACTACTTGTAACATTGGCAGTGTAATATATATAAATTTCCAGTGTGCTGAAAAAAATACAGTTGGTAACAGGAAAAGAGGATTTTCAAAAATGTTATTAGATGCTCAGTTCATGAGTAATATATTCTTTATTGTAGGTAGTATTGAGTCTTCATTTTCAACAGTTGTTTTGTTATCCATTTAGATGTGTGCTTATTACAATTTTGATAAATATTTTAATATTGTTGCCCAAATTTTACACATTTTTACTTTATATTAATGAAATAATAAATACTTTGTATTGTTCTCTTGAAAAAAGAAATATGTCTTAAGCCTTAAAATATATTATTATTTGTCTTCTAGAATGTATCTAGAATAGCCCAAGCTAATACAGTAAAATTCTGGGTTATGTAATCATTTAGTGTTTGTTCAGGCACAGATTATGCAAAATAGAATTTATTTTAATTTATCATTCTTAAATGACTTCTCAGGCCATAATTCAATAAAAGACAACTAATAAAAAATTATTTCCATTAAAGGCATAGTTGCTTTATAAACATCACTTGATGAGCCAACTAATGCTGATACAGCTGCTATATCCAGTTTATAATTAAAAGAAATTATATACATTTTATACCTTAATTGGATGACACAGAATTGTGATTGGTTGTCCCTTTCCGCATCCTTTTTGTTTTTGTGTTCTGTTCAATTTATGATTTCTGACAATTCATTTATTTCTAAAATATCTCTAGAAAAGATAAATATATTTATTTAATGTTTTTTCTTATTCCTTACTTTAAATATACATTTTTGAATGAACATTTGCTGGAAACTAGTGTTCAGCCACCACTCCCCTTTTCAGTTAATTTTAGCATTAACTGTCAAAACATGTTGGAATATTAAGTAAAAGTAGCCATAATTGGTTTTGGCATAATTATTTTTAATGGACTGTAGATTCTCAGAATTTTTTAAATTTAATTTCTTGGTTGTTTGTTTTGTTTTTCTGTTTGCTTTTGTTTTTTTGAGAAAGGGTCTCATTGTATAGCTCAGGCTGTCCATGAACTTGGCAGCCCTCCTGCCTCAACCTCCTAGAGTGCTAATTGCTTTTAATTTTCAGAGCCTTTTCACTTGTTGTTATTTAAATAGATCTGAAATATACTGTAGCTATTAGAATTATCTTGTAATTGAGAAAATTGAGTGCCAAAGAAATTCAGTGCACAAATTACTCTGGTCTAGGGCAAGAATTACATCCTTGTGACTGGACATGCAGCTTGGTGGTTGATACTTATTTGCAAGACCCAAAATTTGGTCCCTAACACTATGAAAATCAGTCAGTCAGTCAAAGAAAGAAACAGCACAAGAGAAGGAAAATGGGAAGAAAGGACACTCATTTTATTTTAGAAATAGCAACAACCATTTTTTAAATTATGTAAAGGAAACCTTATAAAGATTTGAACCTTTAAAATTGCTAGCCCTACACTCCCATCCTCTGCCTTATTCTAAAATAAGTAGAACTATTAAGTCATTTTACTTGGCTGTTATTATTAGTTTAATTCTATACCAAGGGAGACTATAATAGCAACTTGTTATCCCATTTCTTTTTTTATTAGTACATGTTTGGAATACATAGATTTATCGTAAGGAGTGGGTACATGTACTCAATATTATTGATTCTTTTTATTCCCCTTCCCCTCCTCATTTTCATTAGTATTATTTTTTTCATTCATTTTTGTAACAGCAAAGACTATACACATTGAGGGTATGTGGTTCATGTGCACATTTTAAATCTTTTTTGTTTTCCTTCCCCTCTGCCCTCAGACTTTGGGTCCCTTTCTGTTTGCAAAAGACTCATCTACCTGTTGCTCTCATCACTCTTATTTTGCTCTTTATTTGTACTTTGGATCACCCAAATTACGCTGTTTCTTTTAAAAATTAAATGAAACAAAACCCAGGACTTTGTAATATGCTAAGTTTCAGTTATTTAACATGCATTGTAGAAAATTTGAGTGTGTCTTTAGGGACTGTCATTGCCTGTGAGTATCCCCCTGGTTTAAATCTTTATATATAGGGAAGCATCAAAGTTAGGCTGATTTATTCTTTCAACAACATCATGGACTGCTAATATTTTTCTTCTTTCTAGCCATTGTATGTTTAGCATAATGTTGAGCACAGGTTGTGCTGTATACTTTTTAGGTTTAGATGCAAATTAAGATTTATGTCAGTGTATATGTTTGTTCTAATTTATTTTCTATGTATTCATACTTTATTATAATTAAAAGCCTTTTTAAATTTGATATCTAAGTGGTTTTCAGCAAGAAAATATATTTGTTTGTACAGTTGGTTTTTCCTCCTACATGTCATATTATCTTATTTTGATCTGGTTACTTAATCATATACATAAATATTTATTTTAAAATACCTTTCTTTTTTTTTTCTTCTGACAACTAATGAATTGTGGTTTCTTTCCTATAGGCAACTGAAGAGAACACTTCCAGTTCTCTAGGGAGAGAACACTTTTTCCATCAAGAGACAGTTGTTACCAGTGACCCTTACAGAAGCTCAAATATCAGATCAACTGCCTTTGCAGATCTGAATGTTAGACGAGTTTACTTGCAAAGTCAAGCTAATCAGGTGAGAAAATAAATACTTTACAGCATGTATAGTATATGGGTAGAAATTCAATGTGTTGGCAAATGACATTGTCTGTCCTCTATATTAAATAAATACCCGACAACTAAAAGACAGGAAAATCAGAAGATTATGTTTTATAATAAACTAGATTCATGGTTAACAGTAAATATATTCACTATAAAGTCTGATAGGGACATAATAATTAAACCAAAAATTTACCTTTAAATTTTTGGTGGTCAAAGTAAAACTGGAAAATGTGCTCAGTGAAATTTGTATTATCTAGAAGGAAAAACACATTCTAGCCTTTTTGGGAAACAAAAGTTTCTTGTTGTAAGAAACTTAAAATTTCTTGGATCAAAAAATTGTTAAAAAAATTATTCTCAGCTAATGTATCTGTGGCAAATTCACTAAATTTTATAAGGTTGCTTAAAGCTTACCTAAAAATATATAAATGTATTCTTAAATTATTTCAATAAAAGCATTCCCTTTGGGCATTGCATATATATCTTTCTATAATGGGTCCAGCCAAAAGAATCTAAGGAGCTCGAGTGTGTTTGTTGTGTGTGCCGCTGAGGTGAACACTCACGTGTAGTCCAGGACATACTCAGTAACTTACCTACAAAAGGCAAGTCATACCCCCTCTCCCAGTCCACCTTCCCTTCTTTGATCCTCATGCCTGCCTCAGCCTCCTAGAATGCTCAGATTATGGACCTGAGCCCAACCTGGCTGTTTGTTTTGGTTTTTGTTTTGTTGATACTAAGGCTTGAACCCAGAGCCTAGTGTGTGTGAGGCCAGTGTTTTACCACTGAATCACATCCCCGGATCTCCCATACTTTTTTTAAAAAACAGGATTCCAGTTGCCCAGACTTAATCTCAGTCTTGGAATCCTTCTGCGTCAGTCTCCCAAGTAGAGAACATTACAGATGTACGCCATACTTAGCCCTAAAATGTTTTTAAAGTGTTTTGAATACTTTCTTCTTGATATCCGTAAGGTATACAGTTGACCCAATGTGAATGTTGAGTACCTGCCACCACATAGTAAAAAATTAGTATATGATGTTTTAGTTTCAATCTGGTTAGGTTCGGTGTTGGCTTTTTGAGACATGATCTTGTTACATCAGCCAAGCTGTTCGACAGCCACTGGGCCCAAGTGATTCTGTTGGCTTAGCCTGGCTTTTTTCTTTTTTTTAAAGCTGTTTATTAACACATGCTTGCAGTGTCTTGGTGATTGTATTTTTTAAGTTGTAAGCTTTCATTACAAATTAAAAATGGAGGTTCTTGAAAATTTCAACTTGACCAAATATGAAGCAGATTAAAAAAAAAAAAAATTCTAAAGGTGTATTGAGGAAAAAACAGTCTTTTTAAAAAAAGCATGTTTGTCATTACCAAAAAGTGACATCTTTAGTAAAAATAAAACCTTCATGTTGTGTAAACAGTGTAGCTATTTATAATTCAGTGGTTAGGAGCAAGATACATGTACTTAAAGTGTTCAGTTTCAAGGCTTCGTTGGTTTTTACTGTTGGAATCTCATGTTCCCTTCTCCGAGGTGGATGACTGATGACTGTGAGATGGAACGTTGACATGTACTCAGTCCTGCCTGTTCAGTGTCAGGAGTAGATGAATTCTCAGCTGGTGGCTCAGCTGCTTTGGTCTCTAGCATCTTGTAGTGTACACTTGTTCGGGGCACCTGCATCAGTAATTGAAATTAGGGCAGTAAAACCTGTGACGGCCGGTAACCTTGAGTTCCTTGATTTTCTGTGTGCTCCTCATTGCACCCTCTCAGTGAGGAATGCCCGTGTGCAGTAGTGGAGGGTAGTTTTGGTCTCACCAGTCTACTTTGTGCTCTAGCTCCCTGGTTGTCAGCAGTCTGCCCTGCACAGGAGGTTTAGAATACTGTGGTCACGGCCTGTACATCTCCACCTGTAGCAAGGCAAGAACTTCTGCCTCACAGGGATTGCATTGTGTGGCATTCTGCAGTCCCTTCTATTCCCCACTGCCATTCTTGGTGATTCTGCTGGTGCTTACGTGGAGACCTCTGTAGTGTGGCCAGTGTCTACGATGGTTATAGTCTGCCGTACCCCATCATAGCCTGTATCACTTGTTGCCTCTACATCATTTTCTTGAACAGTGTCTTCATTCTCCACTCCTCCACTCCACTCTACACTGCCAGGATACTTTCTGGGATTATTCTTTAATATGATCTTCTTGGTCTTGTTCCTATTGGTGGAACCATGTTTCTTAGTTAAACCATTTTGCAAAGCTTTGTTGCTGTAACTTTCTTGTCCCCATGAGCAGTGAACTACCACTAGTGGTTCTGGACTTGGGCACAGTGTCAGCAGCTTTGAGGACAGATGGCTGGCTGGATGCTTGGTCATAGCATAGCCTCACTGCTCATGGTTATAGTGACTGTGACTCCTGGTCTGTGTTGTTACTGAGTCAGTAAACAAGGCTGCTCAGAAAACTGTAGATTCCGCTGCATCTAATAATTTCTCCCAAATTTAACTGCTAATAACATACTCTTGGCCTGAAGTCTTATCTATAATGTTAACAGTCAGTCAACACATCACATTTTACTGACAATATGCTGTTTGCTGGGCATGAGCAACATCAACAATTTAAGCAGATATTTACAAATAGTAACGGGATGATCACTAAATGAGTATAGGGGTATGTAATGCAGTTATTTTATGCAATTGGGGTTTTAGTCTCGTTGCTGAGACACTACACAATACCCACAAGTTAGAGGGAGGGTGGTTTTTGTTTTTCTTATAGTCAATAGTTTGACTATAAGTATTGTCAAGATGAAGTATTGTGGTGGAAAGACCTGTCATAGAGGAAAACTGCTTACCTCTTGATAGCCAGCAAGCAGAGAGAGAGAAGAGAGGTGCCTGGGAGGGAGAGATACCCTCCCAAGTCATGCTTCAGTGACCCACCTTTCCTGACCAGACCCTGTCTCATGACAGCAAGCCAGCTATATTACCACATTAATCAGTCACCTTCCAACAGTCATCCCTGGGAGTCCATGACTCCTGGAGGATATTCTTGATTGAAACCACAAGATTTACTGCTCTATATATTCATTTACGTTTCTCTCAACTGAATATGAGGCCCACGTACCATCTTTAAGTGTGGAAGTTTTATAAATTTGCCTTTTTATTCATGTATTTCATGCACTTATAGCATACCTAACTTTTACTTAATTTTATTTTGATCTTTCTAGGCTAAACAGTTCACTTGTTCTTTTTTGAGGGTGGTGGTGGGTTACCAGGAATCAAACTCAGGACCTTGCACTTGCCAGGCAGACATGTGTGCCACTGAGTTATATCCCTGACCCAGTTCACGTGTCCTTAAAAAAGTTAATTCCACATATGTGTGCATCTGCATAGTTCAAATTCATGTTGTTGAGTAGTCAGCTATATTGGTGTCTGGTAGTATAGTGGCCATATCTAAAGCCAAACTGATACTTATTTAATGATTCTCATTTTGACCTAAGGAACTCAGACATGCAATTTGTTAGGAAAGAAATTTGAATAAACCTAAATAGATTAAGTGAAACATGATAATGCATTTAGTTCAACAAATTATTACCATTAATTATTTTACACCATGTGTGTAGACCATATGTCAGACCTAATGCTTAGAGTTGAAGGATACAAAGAAAAGCCATCATTTCTGTTCTAAAGGAGGTTTTGGTGAAATAATAGATGCACGTTCATAGAGCCATGGGAGCCCAGAATACAGACATTGAACTGATGCTGGAAGATAACAGTCGTTTTTCCAAGTATGTCTAAACTTCTTAAGGATAACGCAGACCATTAGCTAATTGAAGGGATTTGAACTGGCTATGAAAATTGTGGGAAAGGACATTGGAAAAGTGGAGGCCATGTTTCTTAGAGTATCTAATAAAATACAAACTGGATACCTACAGCAGAAGAAAGGCTTCCCTCACTGTTGCGGGAGCGCAGAGGCCAAGGTGCCAGCGTGACTGGTTCTGAGCGAAGGCCGCCTGTGGACCTGCTGGCTCCTGCCTTCATGCTCTGCCCTCCCTTGACAGGGGGAGAAACTGACTTCTGCATTTCCTCTTCTTACAGAGACAGGAATCGCACAGACGAAGGCCCTGCCCTCCTATCTGTCTCTGAAACACTGTACTTCAAAATAACTATTAGTTTGGGAGTTAGAACTTTAACATTTGAATTTTTGAAAGACACATTCAGTCCATAATAAGGAGCAGTATGAGAAAAGGTACATGATCTGGTGGAAAGACAGCATGAGCATTTAAAAAGAAAAGGATGGAACAGAGGGCAAAGACCAGATTGTTGGGAGTTTTATCTGTGCAAAGCACCTCGGGCTTTATCCAGCACACAATTTCACAATACAGAGGATATGAAATACCACAGGCTATATGCTACAACTTTATGGAGTGTCAATTTTAGTCAAAAAAGTGTTTTTAAGTACTCTTCTATGTCACATATCTACAAGGTGGGAATTTTCCTGAACAAACAGTGTTGTGTGCCATAGCCTACACCCTGAATCCTTTCTTTCTGGTTTACTCATTAAGGGTGATACTCTATTGTGATTTTAGTTTATATTTTCCTGATTGCTAAACAGTTTTGAATTGTTTTTGTTTCATGTTTCTTGACCATTTAAAAATTCTATTGTGTAGTACTTGTTCAAGTTTTTCAAATAGAACAGTTGTCTTATTTTTCTTAGGCTTCTTTGTAATTGTTTTGGAACTAAGCCATTTGTTGCATGTACGTATACTCTTTGTGACTTACTCTCTCCATCTATAGATTGTGGTGGTACCATTATCCACCTCTTAATTTTTGTTGTGTAATGATTAAATGTGATATATATCAGTTAGGAAAATGTTTTGTTAAATACAGTAAGTAGTACTTTATTCTTAGTCTTTTATAATTGATACTTGCATTTTCTCCAGGATTGATGAAACATAGAAAAACAAGGTTTACTGTCCTTACTCCATTTTGTGTTTGCATAACCAC